TGCTCGGTCTGGCTTTTGTCGGTCTGTTCCCTGAAGACCTGCTCAGTCTGGCTTTATCCGCAGAGTTCGTCAACAGGGCTTGTAATTCCCAGGAGCTTGAGTTGAGGAAAGACTTATTCACCTTAGACGGAACTGTAGGCTTGGAGTTACCTGAGTCGACGGTCCCAAGACTTAGTCACGCAATTCGGGAAGAAGTGACCAAACAGCTGTGGGATTTCGCTCAATCAGATATCTGCCAGAAGCCTGAGGTGCTTGAGGCCGAAGATGTGTTGCGGAAACTTCTGGGTGGAGAGATGTTTGTGCGCAAACACATGATACTTCCACATTTGCGCTCGATTGATCTGGAAGTGCACTTAGACCAAAATGACCAACCTATTCCTGTATCCTCCGGACCTGGGCAACAAAATCTCGCCTCTCAAAACTTGGATGCAAGGCTCTCTGGAGTTACCATAACTGACGACCTACTAGCTCAACTAACTAATACACGAAAGACGCCAGTGCAGCAGTCCAACAAGTTCCTCCAAAAGCCAGAGGTTCACACAGTTGAACCTGTCCGAGAGAGAGAAAGTATTTTCAATGTGGGTATTGACTTGACGGACAATCTTCTGATGTCGTTGACCAAATCCCGAAAGCATTCGTCTCACCTGGACGATTCTAAACCATCTATTCAGAGACTTGCTGTTCAAGTGACACATAGGAATCACTATTGCTACAGGACTGAGCAGTTGCTTGGATTACATGCACTGAAGAGGAGACAACTTGCGCTGGCTGGATACAGAGTCGTAGAGTTGCCCCATTGGGAATGGTTTCCCTTGCTGCGACGCTCGTATGCCGAGAAAGTCGCCTATCTGCACTGCAAGATATTCAGCTGTTCTGACTCCAAAAAATAGATTGATTGAATTCTCTACATATATAAACTAACCTACAGCTAACATTTCTGTTTCATACTAAACCACAGCACTGATGTTTTTTGTTGTTGTTTTGATTAAATGATTATGTGACTGTATTGTTGCACATTTTTAAGTCAATAAATGAAAAATTGTGCTCTACAGTGTTTGTTAACTAGTTCTATGATATGAGTGCTTTATTCTTTGATTTTTAATTTTTAAAGATGATTAGGTCAACCCTCCTGTTTAAACTGACCCACATTGGTTGTTTCCATGCAAGTTGCCAAAAATCGACAGTAAATTCGAAAAATATTAAAGATTCAAGGAAAAACTTAAAAACTGTATTGTAGCCTGTCAGAGATTAAAAAAATATAAAATATGTGAGAAATATAATAATTCCCATCTGTTTTTATTGTTATTTCTATTGTGTTCTATTGTCAATTTGACCAACATATTTTTGTTCAATTTATTTATTTTTTGGTGATGACTACTTGTAGTGACTTTGCACACTGACGTGCAAATAACTATACGTTTTTT